ATTAACCAACTTTACAACTCATGGTCCAGGGCCCGACTTTAACCAACTTGTTTTTTTTTTTACATTTTTAATGTATTTTATATGTTTAATATTATAATAATCGCATCTTTTTTTTGAATATCTTAATTAACTTGTTTATATTCTTCTCTCATTTCTTGGAAATTTGATAAAAAAAATTCGAATTTTGACCCGTCTAATTATGTTAGTATGAAATAGTTATATAAAAACACAATATAGACAAATGGGATTTCAAATCGAAAATGTAGTACTTATTGGACATAGATTCGAATCGAATATATTATATAGTATAAAAAAGAACGAGTTACATTTTATCCGAGTTGAGGAGGAATCTGACTCAGCCGCCACTTTGGCTACTTCCATACAAATAATATATGAACCAATCGAAATTAAAAAACGTGTCAAACTGTGATGAAGGACATTATAGTATAAAATTTAGTATAAGCTTATTATTATTATTATTTCGTGCCAGTGCTCTGGTGGTGGACTTTACAGTCATCAGCCAGATATTATCTACTTAAATGCTTATTATATATTTCTTTTTATTTTTAATAATCGTTATCTAGAATGATTTCTGATGTTTTATTCGATTGCGTCAGCATATATCATCCTCTTCTATGTTTCGATATACATATACACACACACACACACACACACACACATCCACATTTCATCTCCCTAATGTATACACATGAATTTTATTTTAATGCTAATATTGTGAACACAGCACATAATGAAGTCCATGTTCTTGTAGTGGAATAATAATTCCTGAAATTTCCAAACATTTATTCCCGTCATAATCTTTTTGTAAATATTCTGATTCATATTCGTTTCTCAAATAAATATTCGGATAATTCTATCAATATATCAAAAAAATTCAACGATGTATTAAAACATGTGAAATTATAACATTTAGAGATTATATAACATCGTCACCCTTTAAGAGAAGGGGACATCTAAATTGCGGAAGTAAATGACGTATCCCCCCAAGTTTAGGTGAAAATGCAATTTGGAATGTTTTGGTCTCAAAATATAATAAGCACAAAATACAGGGTGCAAAATTTCGGGTATTAAATTTAATTCTCTCTCTCTCCCCCCGTCGCAAACCCACAGGCTCACGCAATGACGCAAAGATACAATTTTTCTCACATTCTTTCATGGCTTCGTCAAACCTTCCCGCTTTCTCAAAAGGACATTCAAACGTAAACTGGACGGAACGTATTTCTCCGGCGACGAATCTCTGGTCGATCCTTTGCTGTCAACTCTCGCCGTCACTACTCTGCGGCGGTTGACTCTCGCAGGCAAATCTCCTTTCGTTTGCTCAGGTAACTTTGGAATTTCGACACTTCAAATCGATCTGGGTGGAGCTTGAAACTCGAGTTTGGTTCGAATTTATTAGGGTTTGATCAAGGTATTTTCCTAAATTATCCGATCGATTGAGCTGGATTTTTCGATTAAGCTTAAGAACGAGAGGAATTTGGTTTGCGCACAAGAAGGATTGAAGCGATGACGAAAAAATCCAGCAATTGTAGTGTTTGCTACAATGTGTTCCGTGCCTCTATCTGCGCCTCTTGTGTTAATGACAGGTAGGTTTGCATATTGAAATCAGATTCTCACAAATTTGATATGAGAATAAGATCTTCGTGCATTGGTGAACGTTTCCTAGTGGTTCCTTTGTCTTGATCTTTTGTAGATTGGATAATGTCTTTCTTTCAGGCTGCTTGTATCACGATCTTTAGTTTAGCTATTTGGTGTTGTGTAATTGGTAACTAATCTCGCGGGGTTCGGCCCCTTAACAGGCTAAACAAATATAAACTTCTTTTGGACTCATCGAAGATCCGTCGGGAGTATTTATACTCGAGATTAAGCGACTTGCTTCTCATCAAGGTTCGGTTTTTATCTGCTCACAGATAAGTTTTGAAGTCTTTGATCTAGGGACATGTTCGTCCTGTGGATACTGGTTATCACTCTCAATGGTTGTGCTCTGAGCTGTTGATTAGGGTAAAGCAAATGCTCAGCAGAGTTGGAAGGATCTTAAGAATGAGAAGCTTTCTAGGTTGAGGGATAAGCTCCAGAATGAAATGGAGAAATTGCAGAAAAGTATGGAGATAACTCTTTATTTTTCTGTGGGATTGTTTTTACATTAGCAAGTCCAAGTGATTGATGTTAGAATGCAGGGAGAGCTACAGTTGAGAGACTGTCTCGCAATTTGAAAGAGAGATGTGGCATTGTTGAATCGGCTACTGTCATCGTAATACAAAGATCTTTTTCCGCTTTCATTAAAATTATCATTTTCTTACACAAGATGTTAAATTTTAATGATTTTTGCCCACAGCTTCGTATTAAAATTCTTCTGTCTCTTATTTATCTGCAGTTGGAGAAGAATCGTGAAGAGCAGTTGGAAAAAAACTACTCAGATACAATAGGCAATTACTACTTGGTCTATGTAAGATCTACAGTTCATCGTATTCTTTGCTATCATGCTTGATTTTGTGTTTTCGTTGAACTGATATAGTCAGCTTTTATGTGCCAAGTAAAATTCCTTGTTCATCAGATCTCGTAAATGTATCACACATCCAGCAATTTCTGTTTGCAGATCGAGGTTACTTCAGACCGGCTTTATAAACAGGCTTTGGTTATGAAGCAGATCTGCAAATTATTCCCTCTATCACGGGTATGGCGAGTCCTCAAGCAATATGATTATTTGAGGTTATTTTCTATAGAGTTTGTAAAACACTTCTCGTTTTTTTTTCTTGAGTTAACCTTCTAGCACAGACTTCTGCGATGCAAAACTTATCCTAAGATATTATCATTTTTCAATTCTCTCCAGGTAAAACTAGACCAAGATAGTAGAGATGGATGTAGTGATCATTATGATCGAATATGTAATGCATGCTTGCCACAAGGACTCAATCCGCTGTCTGTTCCACCAAAAGAGCTAGCAGCTTCTTTAGGGTATTAGTTTAACTTCTTTATACAATCCTCTCCAAAATTAGTTGAAGAACTTGGGAGGTCTGCTTCCTGCTAGAATATGGCTTTCTAATTCTCCATCCGTATTACGCATGATTGTCTTCTGGGTTTTGTAATTCTTTAATATCCTCTCGGTTTGTGGTTGAAACAGGTACATGGCACAGCTTCTGAATCTTGTTGTTAACAAGCTGGCAGTGCCTGCACTTCATAACTTGGGTTTTGGGGTAGACATTCACTCATCCTTGACTCGATTTTTATGCTAAACAGTTTGACTCGGTCTTGCAAGACTTGTATGCCAAATGCAGTTTTCTGCTCAGAAAAGTAAATTCTGGATAAAGGTTTTTGCATTTGTAATGTAATGTCTCAGGGTTCTTGCTCGAGAATATGGCAACAGGATTCCTATTGGAGTAGTCGCCCATCTTCCACAAAGTAAAGTTTCTTAGAAAGCGTGTCTTACATGACAGAGATTGCATCACTGTTAGACCAGGAGTCTGAAAATGCCTTCTCTTTTGCAGCAATGAGTATCCTCTTTTCATACCTATCCATGATTATAACTCCATGAACGTGAACAATTCATGGACCAGAAGGGGTTCGACCAATTTCGGCGTCACTTCAATTAGATCGGATGGAAGTCCAGAAACAGAGCCTTATGACCTCGATGTTTTCAGCTACTCATCTGCCTCCTCCCCTCGTTCTCTTGATGCACACAGAGATCTGCAGAAAGGAATTGCACTTCTCAAGCAAAGTGTGGCACATATATCTGCGTATGGCTACAGCTCCCTGCACCTGGAATTTCCTAATGCATCCTCGACTTATGCTACAGTCAGTCATTTCAGTTTCTGAAATCTCTTACTTTCTTTCCCTGGGTTTGTCGAGGTATATTCTCAGATGAGGCATACAATTTACTTATATCAAATGGGTATTGTGTATATATATGCATTGAGATAGCTAGACCTCCCCTGGCTTTTACAGGTCCATGAAGAAAGGGAAGCAGCAGAACAAATCCGTGTGGAACTCGAGCACTTCCAGTTCGAGCACCTTGCTAAACAGCGCTCACACAGAGCGCACATTGGTATCACTTTTGGCTCTTGACTTGGTTGTACTCTATCATGAATTTCCATTAAAATGATGAATAAATAACCTTAAAAAGGCGATATGTGTATTAGTATCTGGATTCTTGGTTTTGTCTCTTGTAGGTTATACTCGAGATTAAGCGACTTGCTTCTCATCAAGGTTCGGTTTTTATCTGCTCACAGATAAGTTTTGAAGTCTTTGATCTAGGGACATGTTCGTCCTGTGGATACTGGTTATCACTCTCAATGGTTGTGCTCTGCGCTGTTGATTAGGGTAAAGCAAATGCTCAGCAGAGTTGGAAGGATCTTAAGAATGAGAAGCTTTCTAGGTTGAGGGATAAGCTCCAGAATGAAATGGAGAAATTGCAGAAAAGTATGGAGATAACTCTTTATTTTTCTGTGGGATTGTTTTTACATTAGCAAGTCCAAGTGATTGATGTTAGAATGCAGGGAGAGCTACAGTTGAGAGACTGTCTCGCAATTTGAAAGAGAGATGTGGCATTGTTGAATCGGCTACTGTCATCGTAATACAAAGATCTTTTTCCGCTTTCATTAAAATTATTTTTTTTTCCTTTTCCAATTTGTTGGTAGAACCATTTCAATCAGTTCCCATAATGTTTAGGGGTATAAAACGAGTCGCGGATCGCGGGCCGACTCGTGAGTCGGCTAATATTTTTCCGAACTGGACTCAAAATATTTGAGCCCAGAAAAAACAGGGCCAAACGAGCCAGCCCATCACATTTCACTTTTTATTCAAGGAGGTGAGTCGTTTTTTCCCCCATGTATCCACATGTTTGGTTGGTAGCTGAGAAGGCTAAAATCTGCATTTCTTCTTCTGCTTCATTTCCATTCGTTGGAGGTTTTTGGGCTTCTGGTCATGCTCTGTTGCCTTAAAAGGTACAATCTTGGGGGGAGAGAGAGAACATGAAGAAAGTATAAAAAGTAGTTTTATTTTTTGGTTGGTGGTGGCTCGTTTGTGTTTCCCAACTTGGGTTTCAACTTTTTAGAGGTAAAGCTGGTGTTTTTGCTGTAAAAACTGCTGATGAAGTTATGCTCTTTATGATTGAATCAGTGACTAATGATGTGATTCTCGGACTAACTGTTTGGATCTATTGAAGGTGAGCAGAACGGTATCTTCCCTCTGCTATGCGTTCTTCT